GAAAAGATTTTTAAAAATTAATATATTTTGATTTATTAACAATTACTTTCATAAGCTTTTTGAGTTTTAAATTTTTCTCCCTCTCCCTTCCCACCTCCCTTCCCAAGATGGTGCACATTCTAATATAGGCTATACATATACATTCCTATTAAACATATTTTCACATTAGTGGTGTTGTAAGAATTAGAACCAGTAGGTGGAACCACCAGAAAGAGTAAACAGAACAAAACAGAAAAAAAATAGCATTCAAATCCGCATTCAAACTCCATAGTTCATTTTTTGGTTGTGGATAGCATTTTCCATCATGAGGCCTTTGGAGATGTCTTAGATCCTTGTATTGCTGAGAGGGGTTAAATCTATCAAAGTTATTCATCGCACAATGTGGCTGTTACTATGTACAATGTTCTCCTGGTTGTGCTCACTTCACTCAGCATCAGACCATACAAGTCTTGCCAGGTTTTTCTGAAGTCAGCCTGTTCATCATTTCCCTGTTCAGCCATTCCCCAATTGATGGGCATCCTCTCAGTTTCCAATTCTTTGCCACCACAAAAAGAACTGCTATAAATATTTTTGTACATGTGGGTCTTTTTCCCATTTGTATGATCTCTCTGGGATATAACCCTAGAAGTGCTATTGCTGGTTCAAAGGGTACGCACATTTTTATAGTCCTTTGGGCACAGTTCCAAATTGCTCTACAAAATGGTTGGATCATTTCACAGCTCCACCAACAATGCATTAGTGTTCCAATTTTCTCACATCTTCTCCAACATTTATCATTTTCCTGTTTTGGCATGTTGGCCAATCTGATAGATGTGATGTGGTACCTCAGAGTTGTTTTGGTTTGCATTTCTTTAATCAATAGTGATTTAGAGCATTTTTTCATATGATTATAAATAGCTTTAATTTCTTTATCTGAGAGCTGCCTGTTCATATCTTTTGACCATTTATCAATTAGGGAATTACTTGTATTCTTATAAATTTGACTTAATTCTCTATATATTTTAGAAATGAAGCCTTTATCAGAGACACTGGTTGTAAAAATCTTTCCCAATTTTCTACTTTCCTTCTAATCTTGGTTGAATTGGCTTTGTTTGTGCAAAACCTTTTCAATTTAATGTAATCAAAGTTATCCATTTAGCATTTTGTAATGTTCTCTATCTCCTGTTTGGTCATGAATTCTACTGTTTTCCATAAATCTGATAGGTAAACTATTTCTTGCTCTCCCAATTTACTTACAATATCAGCCTTTATATCTAAATCATAAACCTGTTTTTACTTTATTTTGGTATATGGTGTGAGATTTTGATCTATGCCTAGTTTTTCCTAGCAGTTTTTGTCAAAGAGTGAGTTCTTATCCCAGAGACTGGGGTCTTTGGGTTTATCAAATAATAGTTTACTACAATCATTGACTACTGTGTCTTTCATACTTAACCTATTCCGCTGATCCATCACTCCATTTCTTAGCCAATACCAAGCAGTTTTGATGTTTGCTGCTTTATAATACAATTTAAGATTTGGAATGGCAAGGGCACTTTCCCCGCATTTCTTTTCATTAGTTCCCTTGATATTCTGAACTTTTTGTTATTCCAAATGAATCTTGTTATTTTTTTCTAACTCTATAAAATAATTTTTGGTAGTTTGATTGGTATGACACTGAGTAAGTAAATTATCTTAGGTAGAATTGTGATTTTTATTATATTAGCTCAGCCTACCCATGAGCAACTGATGTTTTTCCAATTGTTTAGATCTGACTTTATTTGTGTGAAAATGTTTTGTAATTGGGTTTATATAGTTACTGAGTTTGTTTCGTTAGGTAGACTCCTAAATATTTCATAATGTCTACAGTAACTTTAAATGGAATTTCTCTTTCTATCTCTTGCTGTTAGGCTTTGTTGGTAATATATAGAAATGCTGATGATTTATGTGGGTTTATTTTGTAGCCTGCAACTTTGCTAAAGTTGTTTATTATTTCAGGTAGTTTTTTTACTTGATTTTCTAGGATTCTTTAAATACATCATCATATCTGCAAAGAGTGATAGCTTTGTTTCTTCTTTGCCAATTCTAATGCCTTCAATTTCAGAAAAGATTTAAAATAAAAGTAAATTTACTACCTATGAAGGATGGCAGGAAGCTCATTGGATGGGTTGGATAGCTTTAGAGTGGGACGTGATCTGGTGTATGGGAATGGGGGGATGGGCAGTGGTTATGGAGAATGGTTGTTTGAATAATGACAGTCTGGGCTTCAGAATTACTGGGATGGGGAAGGCATGATGGGATGGGAGTTTGTTAATAATTGAAGAAATAAGTACTGGTGGTAGGTTATCAAAATCCTTAGGGGATTAATCCTCCTCTTAGCCTACTTTATGGGCATGAGAGAGAGCACTCAGTATTGGAGAATATGACCAGGGTGGCACTGTCTTCCAGAGAGATGATCATAAGATCATAGGTTTAGAGCTGGAAAAAATCTTAGTGGCCATTTAGTTCAATCTCCTCATCTTACAGTTAAGGAACTGAGGCCCAAAGAGTTAAATGACTTGTAACAAAAGTCACATAGACAACAATCCTAGTGGATCTAGGATTTGAACTTGGGTACTCTGATTCCAAATTCAGTAGTGTGTCCATTGTATTATCCTGCCTTCTGGATCCATGTTTATGTCAGCACAATTAGATGGAAAGTATGAAGTGAAGTGATCCATGATGAAGAGGATTTTGTTAACAATAGATCAGGGAGTCCAATGGAAAAGGGAGGACAGAGGGAAGACATGTATTGTGTAGAAGTAGAATTGGGGGATTTAGGGATAAAAGCAAGGAGAAAAGGTTTTTTTTTTCCCCTGGGTAGATGTCAACTATGAATTAAAGTATACTAAGAACAAGTGTACCGGCTGCGCCGACCTTGTGCCGACCGCGCCGTACACTCTCCTCCTATAAGGAGCAGGCTGCCAGAGTCATACTTACCAGTCTTCGGTGCCTACCCGGATACACACACAGAGACGACCCATCAGGAGGCTGCCAACACCCGAGCTTTATTCAGAGGCCATCACAGCAAACCATCACAGCAAGGCCAAGCAGGAAGGCCAGGGTAACAGAGCAGGAGCAAAGAGAGCGCGCTCCCGACCACAACCGTTCCTCAGTCCCTACTTTGCCCCTCCTCCTCAGCCCATCTACTAGTCAATGATTGTAGGGTCAGATACCGGAAGGGGCTGTCTGAGTTTAGTGCACCAAGGGAGAGGGAGTGACACAGGAGGCTAGGACCAGATACAGGAAGGAGGCATCTAGGATTAGTGCATAGACAAAGAGTACGTGACCTAGGAAGTCAGGAAGG